GAGAGAACTGGGATTGTTCAGCCTGGGGTGAGCTGACTGTGGCCTTCCAGGACCTGAAGGGGCTACAAGAAAGATGGGGAGAAACTACTTACAAGGGCCTGGAGTGACAGGACAAGGGGGAATGGCTTCCCACTGCCAGAGGGCAGGGTTAGATGGGATATTGGGAAGGAATTCTTGGCTGGGAGGGTGGGCAGGCCCTGGCACAGGCTGCCCAGAGAAGCTGTGGCTGCCCCTGGATCCCTGGAAGTGTCCAAGGCCAGGCTGGAGCACCCTGGGCTAGTGGAAAGTGTCCCTACCCGTGGCAGGAGGTGGCACTGGATGATTTTTAAGGTCCCCTCCAACCCAACCCATTCCATGATTCCACACAGCCATGCACAGGGAGGCCACTCCATGTGCTCAAGGCACACCCCCACTGCCTTGGCAGCACCAGCAATCCAGCCTGTTGGATCCAGAGGACAAATGTGAGGTGAAAAAGGTCTGGCATATTAAGAGGACGTGCCAAGATTTTCTTCTGGAAACAGTTTTAAAAGATCCATCCCAAACCTCAGGTAATTGAGCACTGGCAGTAAAAAGCAGCTCGAGCCAGTCACTGAACCTCAAAGGGATCCCTGAGTTGTGCTCATCTTAATGAATCCAGGAATCGATTCCTGCTGCACAAATAAGGTGTGGGATGGATCAGCTAATAAGCATTCTCAGTTAATTGCTTTCTCCAAGTGACAATTTGTACAAATGATACCATCAAAGTAGTAATAATATCCCTATTGATTAAATTAATCTCGAAAAGACAACTCAGATCAGTTTAATTAGCAATGCACGACACAAGCACAAAATAGTCTGAAAGCAACCTTGTAGCCCATCCCAGAGTTTGAAATCATGGCAACAGCCATGCCACAGACTTTTGCATCTTTATTCAAATAGACACCAGCAATTTTATGGGCCATCTTTAGGGAATGGCTGTGACTAACCATGAAAAACCATTAAGGCTCCCTGCAGAGAAAAAGCGAGACACAGAGCAACTGCAGCCTCCCCTCTTAGTCACACACTCCCTAAAAACCTGGGCCACAAACAGCTTTAAAATAAATGAAACCTTTTCAGCAGCAGGAGCTGAGATGGTCAATGAAGCCTCTGCCCCAAAATGCCCACGTGGAGCTGGTGGGGACCCACAGCAGAGGCAACACTTTCAAGCAATGAAAACTGGGCACCAGGTTTATCAAATCAGAGCAGAAACTCCTTCCACACAGTAAAGGGTTAAAAGAGTTGGCCCAAAGCTTGGTCAGAGGGAGCAGGTTGTTCTTTCTGGAACCCAGAGCAGGAGCTGAGCCTGGGGAAGGGGCCACAGCACCCACAGCACCCACATCCTGCCCAGGATGGGCAGTGGGAGCCTGGAGCAATAGAGTCACATAGTCCCAGAATGGTTTGGGTTGAAGGGACCTTAAAACTCATCCAGTTCTACACCCTGCCATGGGCAGGGACACCTTCCACCAGCCCAGCTTGCTCCAAGCCCCGTCCAGCCTGGCCTTGGACACTTCCAGGGATGGGGCAGCCACAGCTTCTGTGCCCAAAAGGTGCCAGGACCTCACCAGCCTCACAGCCAACAATTCCTTCCCAATCTTCCAAAATCTCACCCTGCCCTCTGTCAGTTTGAATCCATTCCCTGTGTCCTGTCCCTCCATCCCTTGTCCCCAGTCCCTCTCCAGCTCTCCTGGAGCCCCTTTAGGCCCTGCAAGGGCCTCTCAGGTCTCCCTGGAGCCTTCTCTTCTCCAGGTGAAGCACCTCCAGCTGTCCCAGCCTGGCTCCAGAGCAGAGGGGCTCTCCCTCTTCCAGGTGGGAGATGTTTCCAAACCTCAGGCCCAGCAGCTTCACCAGAATCACCGGGTCACCAGGTCTTCCCCAAACAATTTGGGGCTCATTAACACCAGAACAGATGAAACCCTTGCTCCCTGGGGTTGTCAGCACAGCAAGGAAGACCTGGTGCCATTGGGGTTTCGTTTCCAGGCATGCTTTGTGGGGAGGGAGAAAAAAAGGGGTGTTGAAAACCTCTCCGTTGGAATATCAGCCTTCCCTGCCTTGCTCTGCAAACACTTCTCTGCTCCCTGCCAAGGAAAGAGGAATTGGACTCAGCTCTGTCTCAGGGAGTGAAGCAGTGGGCACTGGGGACCAGAGGAGTGAGTGAATGAGCACAACCTTCTGGAGACACAAAAGCAAATCCAATAACCCGAGGAACTGCACGTTCCTGCATCAGGGCCAAAGCCACCCTGCCAGCAGAACAGGACTGTGCCTGTGGCAGCAACGTGTTTAATGGCTTTATTATTATTCTCTGAGCAGTCCCAGGATGCTCCCAGCACGTGCAGGAGAGCAGAGCCCCCTGGGAATGTGACTAACAGGTTGTTACTGGTTTTTTTAAGTGGCTCCTGCAGGAACTTTCTCATTTTGCTCGCTGAATTCAGCAGCTGAAAGAAACATATGGCCCATATATTTCACCACCATGGGGCCAGAACAGCTGGTTTTACAGTATTTGTGGAATCACTTAGGTTGGAAAAGCCTTCTGAGACCATTGAGTTCAACTGTTCCCCCAGCACTGCCAAGGCCACCACTGCCCCATGTCCCACAGGTCTGTTAAACCCCTCCAGGGATGGTGATTCCACCACCTTGAGGCACATCAATAAAACAAGACTCTTGGACAACATATGGCCCTGGCCCTTCCAGGTTAGTCCAGCCCAACCTTCTCAATCATTTATTTAATTTTGTTATTCAGATTATTTGTATTTAATTCACCACAACAGAGTTAAACTTGTGCTTTTGCCTGAAACACTCTCATTTTTCCATGTCCTCCTTGTAGCCTCGATGGATTTATTATCTCCTTTCTGATGAGATGGGACAGTCTCCTCCATAAAATGTTTAAAAAGGCTCAAATGATTCTCAGAATGGTGATGGAATTTGCATTATCATCAAAACAGCACAGAAATACTTTCTGCCTTTATTTTCATCCAGGAATTCCTGAAACAACCGAGGAGCCACCAAATGACTTTTCTGACTCCAAACAGGCACTTACCATGGGAAACAGCAGAATACCCATAGAAAGCCTCAATAATTCTCTATTCCTTGATCCTTAAAAGGATTTTATTTACTGGGATATGGTAGCTACAGCCCCCAGTGTGGCAGCACAGGGGGAAGGCTTGGCAACCTCTACATCAGGACCATCAGAAACAGATAAATCCATCTGACATCTGCTTGAATGCAGAACAACTCTCTGTTTCCTTGGATAAACTCTTTATAACTGGAATCTTACTGGGAAGTGGAACTCAAACACCTGGCAACCACCATCCCCAGGACCTCCCTGTGAGCCACCCCACAGTGGCCAATGTGTATCTGTCCAAAGTCACTCCCACTCTGCCTCTTAACTTTCTTCCCAGTTAACTTGATTTTTATCTGGAAACATCCTTAGGCCTCAATTTTTATGTGGATTTTGGTGCCTGACTGGAAAAATACTGGCCAGTGTTTATCTGGCCAAGGTGTATCTGGGACCGATGGGTCGTGAGCTGTCGGTCACTAATAGGACACTTGCACAGAGGCTGAATTTTTGGAGCTCAAGAATATTTAAAAATCTACTCTCTATGTAGCCTTACAGGGTAGATTTCTAAGGATCTTGGCTCTCAAAATCACCAATGATTTTCAAACCTTGTCCAGAACAGGCAGCACGTGAATGTGCAAACATACGGGTCAGAAACACAACCTTGGGAAAGTCACCTGAGGGAGAGAGGAATTATTTGTTCAAAAGGATGGTTTTTAGCTATTTCTAAACAATCCAGCATGTGAAAAAGAAGAGGACATATGCTCATCACTTGTGCCTGAGACATCCATCTGACTGTTCCTGCTAAGAAGCCAACCTTCAACGAAATGCCCCCAAACCCAGCAGATGGGGTGAATTACTGATTGTGACACGGCTCACTCCACAGTGAGACTGAAAAAATCCCACAAACAAACAAAGAAGGAGAGCCACCAGAAGGGCTTGGTTTGGAGAGGGATCTCTCCAGACCCACGATGATGAGCAGTAATTATTTCACATGTAGAGAAGCTCTGTGGCCCATTTAAAGCCTTTCATTTCCATTCCCTTGTTTAAGTGAGATTATTGCTCCCCATAGCCAACAACAATAGATTTCTTCAGTTTCCTCTGACTTGCCAGCAAAGCAAATATCCTCTGGTAAATCTGGGAGCTGAACAATGATTTTTCATTTTTACAACAGCACAATCAATGCAATTTTCCAGGCATAACTCTCCAGCCTCCCCCTATCAGCTCGTTAACGTACAAGTGCCGTACTCCAAACCGTGCCTGGAAGGATCTCCACAGACTCTGCCATCCCAGGTTGCTTCTGAACACTGAATTCATTGCTTATGAATCACTTCAGTGTGTGCAAACACTCGAATCACTAAGCCATATCTAATATTGTACATAGTAATCAAGTGATGTTGTCACCGTGGAGTGTGTAACGATGAGGTGGCTCTGCAAGCGTGGGGTTTCACTGGGAAAAGCAGGTTTTGTCTGTTTGTGAACACGTTTTCTTTGCAGATGGAAAACCTGGAAAATATTTTCGGGCTTTGTGTCTTTCTGAAATACTCACAAGAGTCCCATCACCCTCCCCCCAGACTGTCACATCACAACATCAGCCTTGTGTTCTTCCTGGTATTTAAGACACCTGTAACTTTACAGCCAGTGTGACAACATGACCAGGGTCTGTTTAAGCTGGAAACGCCACTTTATGTCAGTAGCTTTTTGCATCAGGTCAGACAGACAAGAATCCAAGTCAAAAAACTCCTCTCACCCCTAAAACCAAGTCATTTCCCCCTTAAACTGAAATTAAAATGCTATAAATCCCACCCCTGCTCACCCCCACCCCCCCCGCGAAGTATTCCAATAACTGCTCATGCCAACTTGTCAAAGTGTTACTTTGGGTTCCTTAAATCCTGCTGGGTGCCATTTCTCCTGCAATTGTGTCACCAACCTTGATGCCCAGCTCGATGTTCTCCCCTCCGTACACGTCCATGCCGGGGTCCAGGAGCCCGATCTCCCCGAAGAACTTCCTGTTCACCACGAAGGAGCAGCCGATCATGGCTGGGGTCCTGCACGGGGAGACACCCACGGGAACACACAGTCAGTGACACTCTGCAGTGTTTCATGGCCTGAGGGATGATTTCTACTAAGTTTCTGTTGGCTTCAGGTGGTTCCTGCAACTGGTTATCCCGGAGACATCGCAGCAAGGAGTGAGCTCAGAATGCCAGGATGTGCTGAGCTGGGAGGGACCCCCAAGGATCCTGGAGTCCAACCCTCAGCCCTGCACAGGCCCAGCCCCAAGAGTCCCCCCCTGTGCCCCAGAGGATCATCCAAACCCTCCTGCAGCTCTGGCAGCCTTGGGGCTGTGCCCACTGCCCTGGGGAGCCTGTTCAGTGCCAACCACCCTCTGGGGGAAGAACCTTTTGCTGAGATCCACCCTGAGCCTGCCCTGACACAGCTCCAGCCATTCCCTGGGGGCTGTCCCTGCTCCCCCCAGAGCAGAGCTCAGTCCTGCCCCTCCTCTGCCCCTGCCCAGGCAGTTGGAACTGCAGGGAGGTCTCCCCTCAGTCTCCTCTGCTCCAGCTGAACACACCAAGTGCCCTCAGTGTCCTCACATGGCTTCAAATCCAGGTCCTTCCCCATCTTCATGCCCTCCTTTGGACACTCTCCAATGGCTCAATCTCTCTTTCCATTGTGTCGCCCCAAACTGCCCCAAAATTGGGGTGAGGCCACCCCAGGGCAGAGCAGAGCGGGACAATCCCCTCCCTGGCCCAGCTGGCCATGCTGGGCCTGATGCCCCCCAGGCCCTTTGAAGGGGTTATTTTACCCCTGAAATGATATTGTCCCAAATTCAAGTTCATGTCACTGTGAACAGGCTGGAGAAAGAGTTGTCCTGGGCTTAAATTACAGAGAAGCTCTGCTGGAAACACCTTGTGGTGTCCATGGGCAAGAGCACAACTTCTTTGGGTTTCCATTGCCCACAGCCCCAAGGCTGCCAGAGCTCCAGAAGGGTTTGGATGATGCTCTGGGGCACAGGGGGTGACTCTTGGGGATGGGCCTGTGCAGGGCCAGGAGTTGGACTTGATGGTCCTTGTGGGCCCTTTCCAACTGAGCACAGTCTGTGATAAGTGAAGGAAATGTAAAAATGACATTTCCTTTCTCTTACCTCTAGCCTGTCTAGTAACAGAGTAGATTTCAAGAGAGACATCAGTTTTCATGGAATCCCATAAAAAAGGGTTTCCTGAAAGAGGGTTTCCCATTTGTATCTTTATGACATATCACAGAGCAGCCATCACCAAGAGCAACAAGGTCACTGCAAATTTGCAGAGGCAAATCCTTTAAAAACTCAAGACAACCATCTGCAGAACCATCAGCTGGGTCATTTGCCCAGTTCCACCTGTACCAACAGGGCTCTGGGTTACAGATGTCACATCCATCCTGCAAAACCTCAAAAACCCTCAGAGTGCTCAGCTCCACAGTGCAAGAGCAGCCGAGCTCGGGGTCTGGTCAGGGAAATAACAGAGAAAAATGAGAGCAGGACAACACTGACATCAATGACTAGCACAGAGAGTGAGGAAAAACGCAGTGCCAGGGGTTAATTTCTCATAACTGGGCAAATTTAAGGATGTAATAGATGGTCGTGTTTACAACAACCCCGGCTGTGCCCCTCCCTCATTACTTGCAAAACACTGGCCCAGTTCTCCAGCTCACACAGCTGCCCTGAGCTGAGGATGCTGCTGTGATTCACACACACCGAGATCACATTTCAGGGTATTTTTTTGAGTGGTTAAACACTCCTGACCCTCTCCATAAAGTGCCACTTTTCCACAGAGCACAGCGCTGAACAAACCATCTCATTCCACTCTGGCTGCTCGGGGATGCATGTCCTCTGTTACAGTGTGGGGAAAGTTTACCCCCCTGGGATATTTTCTGTGCTAAAATAGAAATATAAAAAGCTTTCTCCCGTTTAACTGCTTGTGTTTGACTCCATGCTGTAAAGAAAAAAAAACAGGGATCCACTCAGGTCAGCAGGGAGGGGACAAGGAATGAGTGGAATGGAGCTAAGCCGTGCCAAGGTGCTGCTTTTTGGGGAGCTCTGGGATCCCCCCCTGCCCACCCTGAGCTCAGGACCTTGTGCTGCCCAGGGAAGCCTTGCAGGGTGGAACTCCTGTACCTGGGAACTCACAGCACTCAGCAATGCCTGTTCTCCAGGGGGATGTTGGACTTGAGGTAGAAATGGGGCAACAGGATCGTGTATTTTAACATCAGCCCCAAAATCCCGGCTCAAAAACCATTCCATGGCTTGTCCATGCTGGGGGGGAGCACATGAAAGTCTGAACTAAGTTTTGGTTTGCAGAGGTAAAAATCATCCCTGAAAATACCCAGGCCTGGCTTACAGAAAACAAGGCCCAGGCCCACACTCAACCTCTCCATCCACACCACACAAAGTGCCCAAATCTGCCAGAGGAGCATTTGGGGTCCCCAGGGCACGCCAGGGCTCAGCAGCCTCACAGCAGAGGCCAAATTCATCTTGGTGAAACCTCTGAGCTCCTCAGACAAAAGGTTCTGGCCACTTTATTATTATTTAGAGACATTTTAATACTTTGAACAGACTGGTAGAAGAGCTGCCATATTAAATTAGTTGGAATTGAAATCCATCAGAGGGTTTTTTCAATAGATTCCTTCCCCAACAGCAGGCTCAGCCTTCCTTCCAATAAGCAGGATAATGTTTCATGGTTTGCTGCCACTCTAGTACTTAAGATTTCAATTCTGTTGCTTTATTTGTAGCAAGTTAACTGCCATCAGCAGAAACAATTCTTCCTGAAATGATAACCACGTTACAGATGCCAAATCTAATAGCTCCATTACCCCAGATTACCTCCTGGAATTAAATAGAAGGGTAAATTGCTGTGGTTTTATACAGAGTATGAACAACCCAGTTCATCCCCTGCACTGGGAATAGGTGTGGTGGGGCATGGGAATCTCTGACTTCTCCAGTCAAAACCTGTTAGATCTGTTAAAGGCACTCAGAGAACAGTTAAAAGCCCGAGAAAGAATCCAGATGAAAGTTTCAGACAAACAAAACTTCATTTTTGACCCAGTAATGTGGATCACTGGGAACTCACCCCCAGGTGAACAACATTTTCTGAACTGGAAACGTCCCAAGAGCCCAGAACAGGAGCTGTGCCCTGAGAGAGCTGCTACCATTACTGTTTTATAGAATCCCAGAATGGTTTGGGTTGGAAGGGACATTAAAGCTCATCCAGTCCCACCCCCTGCCATGGGCAGGGACACCTTCCACCAGCCCAGCTTGCTCCAAGCCCTGTCCAACCTGGCCTTGGACACTCCCAGGGATGGGGCAGCCACAGCTTCTCTGGGCAACCTGTGCCAGGGCCTGCCCACCCTCACAGGGAAGGATTCCTTCCCAAGGCTTTGCAATGTGAATTCAATTTACAGAGCAAAGAGTCAGTGATCCTTCCCCAAACACTCTTGGAAGCACAGCCCCAAGGCTGCCAGAGCTGCAGGAGGGTTTGGATGATCCTCTGGGGCACAGGGGGGGACTCTTGGGGCTGGGCCTGTGCAGGGCTGAGGGTTGGACTCCAGGATCCTTGGGGGTCCCTCCCAGCTCAGATATTCTGGGATTCTAATTGGGATTTAGCAACTTCACCTTCAACTTTTCCTCGTCTCCACTTTGCTGCACATCCTGTCTCAGCACAGGACACCACAAAGCTCCCGAGTGGCCCTTGGGTCCCTCAAGCAACACAAATGAAGTGCTTCATTCTTCTTTGTAACAATGCTCCACATCAAATAAATGAGGAATCAAAGAGTGCTCGACAATTTAAATAAAAACACCATTTGATTTTGTAGTAAATCCTTCAAGAAGGTGGACGTTGACAAGAACAGATTGCTCATCCACAACCAAATAATGGCCTGCAGACAAGGAGCTGATAAAGCCTCTTGTTCTTCTGCCCCTTAATTAAAAGCATTAACACAGCTTGTTTTTAAAAATCACACGGCTCAGCTAGATGCATTTTTGTTTGTCCCCATAGCTATTCTTCCTTTAATGAGAAAGGAAAAACACAATTTGGCAGGAAGGAAGAGCAGAATTATTGGGTTTGTATCCAGGAATCCACAGTGTTAGTTCCCCACCATTATTTCGGTTGGTTCCTCTACACAATAACTGATGAAAGGTCAAGAAGAGCAGCTTTTATGAAATATCCTCAGTATGGATCTCTAAATAAAGATGAAGGAGATACAGGGAAAAACGTTTATCCTGGTCTATTAAGTTACTTTAATGGTCTTCCTTTCTTTAGCACACAGTTATCATCTGATGATTAAAAAGTCTCGAGGAGATTGCTTCTTCAATTCAAGGAAATTAATTTTCCCCCACAATTGGATTTGGCTTCCAATTTGGTACTAAAGAGCAAGTTATAAAATATGTAGAAAAAAAAGATATTAAAAAAATAATTAGTGGTTTGACTGCAAGGAGGCTGAGAAGAGACAGGGTGTCCAGTTCCCATCAAACCACTGTTGTGTTTAATAAACTTGGGTCATGGAGTTGCTCACTTTCCACACGACAACCCTTTGGGAGACACAGCCCCACTTTTGGCACATTTGGGATAGTCCTTTACCTGCCCAGATGGATGTTCTTTCTCCCTCTCCCAACCTCACTATTCCTGATTTAACATCTTAGAGTCCCAGAATGGTTTGGGTTGGAAGGACCTTAAAACCCATCCAGTCCCAACCCCTGCCATGGGCAGGGACACCTTCCACCAGCCCAGGTTGCTCCAAGCCCCATCCAACCTGGCCTCGGACACTTCCAGGGCTGGGGCAGCCACAGCTTCTCTGGGCAACCTGTGCCAGGGCCTGCCCACCCTCCCAGACCAGGAATTCCTTCCCAATATCCCATCTAACCCTGCCCTCTGGCAGTTTGAAGCCATTCCCTTGTCCTGTCTGCTCCAGTTCCTGATGTTGAGTCTCTCCATGTCTTCCTTGTACCCTCCTCAGATCCTCAAAGGTGCTGGGAGGTCTCCACACCATTTTCCCAGCCTGTCTCCCCAGTCCCCTT